AGGTACTTTCTGGACGATCCCTATGGGTCTGAGGAGTTGGCCAATGTCAAACAACTAGTACTGTGTATCGCACACATTTAAAAATCATGTTGAATCTCTTAGTCTATGCACACGACTGTATCTCACTCACACCACATGTGTATGACTGCATTTTTTCTGTGTTTTTTCTCGGGGGGGGGGGGAATCTTTTTTTTACTCGTCGAGTGGTGAAGTGGAGAGACGCCAGTACACCAGCCGCACGCACTCTTGACTCCTTTTTTTACTTTTTCTCTCTGTCTCTTTCTCTCGCGGGCGGGCCCGGCGAGGTGCAGCGGCCTCTTCCTCCGGCGGCGCGGCGGTGGGGCGGCGGGTTGCGTTCTGTACCACCTTGACACGGTGGGCCCGCGGCCAGCGCCGGCACCAGCCCGAGCAGTGGCGCTGGGCCGCGCTGGGGCTGCATGGGTCGCCTCCAAAAGACACAGAGAGGCGCGCGGAGAGGCGCTCTCTCGGCGGCGTATGTATGTAGGCGTGAGCTGCACCAGCGACACCGCACGACTCCTCGCGGTTTGCACACAACGCAGACGTGCTCTAATGGGAGAAGTGCCGCGACGCATGTGACAACAAGGAAGCAGCAACTCCGAGCAGGGGGGAAAAACATACCTAAAAATGAAAATACAAGCTGGGGCATGGCTGCAGGAGGAGGACGGAGGCAAGGAGAGAAAAATGTACTCGGGAGAGATGCACGCGGCCGCCGCCGCCGGAAGTCGAAAAGTACGACGAGTTCGGGCGCGCCAGGCGTGCGGAGCAGAGCGGGGAGTGGCCGGGTATGGGATGGGTACTTACGGCCGGCAGCGGGTACCTCAGGTGCGTCGGTACCGGCCAAGCAGACCGCAGCCCCCTCCCGTCCCCCTCTCGCTGCTGCTGCTACTGCTCCCTCCAGCAGCAGCTCCTTGCGCACGGAAGGCAGAGGGTACCTTCACGCGGTACCCTTCCCACCCGTCTGTCTGTCTCTCTCACGCCACGTGGTTCTCACACTTTGGCGTGCAGCCGCCGCCACCGCCGCGTCTGCTACCGGCGGACAACGTCTGATGAATAAGAAATTGATCGAAAGTCCCGCGGCGGTGGCGAGGCGTAGCGTAGCGTCGAGGGGGGGCGTCGCGACGCCGATTAATTAGCATTTCAGATGCGGCGCGAGCTCGACGCAGCGCGCGGCGTGGGAGGGGAGGGGGAGGTAGGGGAGGGGGGCAGCGTTCGCCAACCCTCGTATGCAAAGGCGAGTGCGTCAGCGACAGCGGGCGGCCGGGCCACTCCGGCGTCGACAGGCAGTTATCAGGGTTCCCTGCTCTGCTGCTGAACTCACAGCTTTGGCCAGCTTACCCGAGGGGGAGAGAGACTGACTGGCTGCTCGGTCAGCGAGAGAGATGAGGGGGGAGGGGGTCGTGTCAGCGCTGCACACCTCCCCTCCCTTCAATCACTAGAAATGTACCTGCTCGGGTAGAGGCGTGGCATTTACTTGCCCGAAAAAAACCCAATAAGAACATTATAATCCGGCCCATTTGAGCTGTTTGTGCGAATCTAGCGTACGCAGGCACGGGTGCGGCCCAGCTCTGGTGCATCTCTAAAAAGAAAGCCCAGTGTAAGGCAACCATCGCGAGTTTTATTTTCGAATGTCCGGAATGGGCGGCGAGCGCTGCTGTGTGTTTTCCTTCGCCGTCCCCAGTCAGAAGAGCGGTTGGCTGGGCTGGGCCGGGTCGCTTTTGTATCACAGCTGGCCGGGCCGGCGGCCGCCCCGGGCTGCACCCCGTGCAGTGCGTGCAGCACGTGTCCACACGCGCCCCCACCGCCACGCCACGCCGCGCCGCGGAAATCGATATTGCCGAGCCGAGCACGCCGTCGCGGGCGAGCCGAGCGGGACGGGTCGAGCTGAGCCGGGCCGGGCACAGCCGGGCTGGGCCGGGGCAGAGAGGGGTGGCTCACGGCTGGGGGTGGGTGGTGGTGGTGGCCTGCTGGGGGAGGAGGAAAGGGGTGGGCTGACATGCACAAAGAACGTGACGTCATCATCGCAGGCCGAACATGTTTGATCGAAGCCTGGCTGCTCAAGTTTTAAAAGGCGGCCTTAACCGACGATGATGAAGGAGGGCATATCTTAAGCACGAGTCGAAGAAGGGTCGTGAGCGACGCGCAACAGTCGCGGACTGCAGCCAAACGCACGCGTCGGCACGAGCCGTAGGCTCGTGTGCCACGCGGGCACCGGGCGCTTGTGCTTGAGGAGGGTGGAGGAAAGTTTAAGCGTCGCCGTTAAGCACGTCGACTGCACAGCACGGGCCAGGGGCGCGCTGTCACTACGCCCCGAGCTTCCAAAACAAAGCCAGAGCTTCACAGCTGGCGTTCGGAACCTCTGCCGATGGTGGGGATGTTCTTGGGGTACATCTACACTCGTTTTGCTCAGCTCTAAAGTCGAAAGGACCGAAAGATGCTGCCGGCACTGTCATCGAACAAAACACACTAATGTCAAATTTCGCATAGGGGTTTTGGGTTGGGGGTTGTGTGAGGAACAAGGGTGGGGGGTAGGGGTGCCTGTTTCCACCCCTGGAGACGCCATTTTCGCTGGACACGATAACAACCCCCTGAGAGCTAATCCTCGGCAGCGGTAGCTGGCCGCAGACGGCTCGGGGACGCTCAGAGCGAGAGCCGGCTTCACGGACTACTCACCTTTTTGGTAGCTGTTGAGGCACATGGAGCAAGTGTAGCTCTCGTCAACATCGTCTGCTGCGGAGTCAAGGCCGTCTGCTCCCCCGGACAAGTACGCCCCGTAGTTAAACAGAGGAGACTGGTACGCCATGGCCACGGAAATGAGAGTTGATGAGATCGCGGGCTAAACTTGACCACTGTTCCACTCAGTTCGATTCACTTATCTCCTCCTGCACGCGCGCACGAGATAAAAAAACACAACACACATCACGAAGTGTCAACCACTGTCTTCGTTTGCTGCATGGCACTGCCTTTCTCCGAAAAAACGGTCCAAAGGGGATGCGTCGAGGCCTTCTCGTAGTATCTCGCAGAACGTACCAAACGCACAGGACGTTAAGAAAACCCTCTACAAGGCACTGCCGCAAGAGTCTGTTTGTTTGTGTTTTGCTTCAGCAGCCTGTTCGGTTAGTCGTCGCTGCTTCGTTCGGTTAAATTGGTTCAATCGTTCATTTGTGACGTAAAGGTAAGTGGAACGTGACACTTCTACTGTACTACTACTGTGCTAACACATTGTTCTATTTCCCGTATTGGATCACTTCTCAAATTTTCTGATGCAGTTTAGGAGGTTAGTTTTCGTTGTAGAATAAACGCTGTGTTCTTGGTTTCAGACAGATCATTCAAGATGTCTCTGGCCGACGAACTTTTGGCCGATTTAGAGGAAAATGACGCTCCAGAGGAGGAGGTTATGGATACAACTACTCCGGCTGATGATGAACATGTTTTTCTCAAGCCTGCAATACCCACCAGAATAGAGGAGGGTGAGTTTTAAAAAAAACATACATGAAAAATGCTAATTGTCTCATTCATTTATGTATTCACCAAGCTTTTTACCTCTTGTTACAGAAGTCAAGCTTTCATCAATTCGTCAGCTTGCCACTCTGCACGATTCTGACAGATTGAAAAGAATATTAGCTGAGATAGAGAAGTTTAGATACAGAACCCGTAAACCTGAAGATGTTGTTGGTGCAGTTGAGCAGGACCCTGAGTATTTACTTATTGTAGAGGCCAACAATGTTGCTGTTGAAGTTGATAATGAAATTGGTACAGTTTTTTTAAAAGAAAATTGACAAATCTTCCTGTCTTTCTAATATTGTTTATCTAAATTTGAATTTTTGTTTCCAGCCGTGATTCATCGTTTCACCAGAGAAAAGTATTCGAAAAGGTTTCCAGAATTAGAGTCTCTTGTTGTTGGGCCTTTAGAATATGTTATGACAGTGAAAGAACTAGGAAATGACCTAGACAATGCTAAGAACAATGAGGAGCTTCAACAGTTTCTTACACAAGCTACTATTATGGTGGTTTCTGTTACTGCTTCTACTACTCAAGGGTATCTGGATTTTATCAACTAAATATCTGCAACCTTCCTAAAAAAGGAAACAAGCTAATGTCCAATTTTTGTCTTTGTCCTCTTCAGACAAACCTTGACACCAGACGAATGGAAAAGTATAGTTGAAGCTTGTGAAATGGCCATTAACTTAAATAACTATAAACTACGTATTTATGAATATGTTGAAAGCAGGATGGCCTTCATAGCTCCAAATTTGTCCTATATTGTTGGGGCATCAACAGCTGCCAAAATAATGGGTTTGTTTGCTTTCCATAACAATTTTTTGCTAACCTGCTCACACAAATCATGTGTATCATTAACTCACATTTCTATTTTTTAGGTGTAGCTGGCGGTCTTACAAACCTATCCAAAATGCCTGCCTGTAATGTCCTTCTTCTTGGTTCTCAAAAGAAAACACTTTCTGGCTTCTCCCAGGTTGCTACATTACCACACACAGGGTTCATTTATTATTCTGAAATTGTTCAGGATGCTCCTCCGGTAGGCAGAAAATTTTCTTACAGCTTCATGATTTTTACTGGCATATTAGCATAGTGCCTTTTTTGAAACATCTGCATTTCTTTAACTCAGGATCTCAGGAGGAAGATGGCACGGCTTGTTGCAGCTAAGGGTATTTTGGCAGCAAGAGTCGATGCTGCGCACGAAAGTGCTGATGCTCACATAGGCCGAATGTTCAGAGAAGAAATAGAAAAGAAACTAGACAAGTTAACTGTAAGTTGATGGGAGAAGAACAAAGTCAAATTAATGTACAAAACTTTTGTTTGATTGAGATTACTCCCGATTATTTTCTCAGGAACCACCACCTGTCAAATTTGTGAAGCCTCTTCCAAAGCCAGTTGATCCATCACGCAAGAAGCGTGGTGGCAAGAGAGTTCGTAAAATGAAGGAACGATATGCTGTTACTGAACTACGTAAACAACAGAACAGGCTCAACTTTGCTGATGTTAGTAATAAACAAATCTACCTCTCTTTCTATACCTTTGAAAACATACATATCTCTAATGATTTTGTTTGCTTATATTTGTCAGATTGAAGATGATGCTTATCAAGAAGATTTGGGTTATAATCGTGGTACAATTGGCAAGACTGGCACTGGACGAATTAGGCTTCCACAAGTAGATGAGAAAACCAAAGTGCGCATTTCAAAGACCCTGCAAAAAAATTTACAAAAACAAAACCAAGTGTGGGGAGGCAGTACAACTGTCAAAAAACAAGTGTCAGGCACTGCCTCAAGTGTTGCTTTCACTCCTTTGCAGGTACGTCAACATGACTATCAATACTGTGTTGTTGTTTTACTTTTTTCTTCTTTGCTTAATTTTACTTCATATTCCAGGGGCTTGAAATTGTTAATCCACAAGCTGCTGAGAAGAATGTCAATGAGGCTAATGCAAGATACTTTTCAAATACTGCCAGTTTTGTCAGAATACAGAAAAGCTAAACAAAGCTCAAGTCACATTCTTATTCACAATCAAATAAGTTGGGTATGATATCAGTAAATATTACTACTGTATGTATTAAAATAAAAATAAGATTCCACTGAAAATTTAATTAGACTTTTAATGCTCCTTCCCTTACTTGTTTGAGACAATAGATGCAATGCTTCTGCACAATTGTTTTACAGTTAAATTACAAAGATTTACAAAACAGCTGAATTTAACTTAGGGTAATTCAGGTTTAGAAACAACCTTGTCACTTTTGGGAGGCGGCTTTTTATTAGCTCGAAGAATTGCGCCTGGACTAGGGTACGGTCGCATTTGATACAATGGTCCTGCAGCTGTTACATCTACCCCAGTTTTTGCTTCACTTTGAGTAGGTAAACCTGTAGACCATGTGCCTCTGCAAAATTGAATGAAAAAACTTTTCAATAAAACAATGATCAAATATGCAATTGCCAAAGTTATTGGAGTGTACAACATACCTTGGGATATCTGAATAGGATGCTGGATCCATAGGATCTAAATCATTATCACGAACTTTTTGACGGCCTCGAGACCTCAGTCTCTCTCTCTCTTCCCTTTGTCTTCTTTTACGTTCTGCAATTGCTTCTTCTTGTTCTTTATCATTCTGTTAAAATGATCAATTTGAGTTGTATTCAGGTAGAAAAATAATTAAAAACAACAGAAAAGGTTCAGAAATCAATTATCATCAAGTGGTCTCATATGGACCATGTGTGGTAATTTGGACCACCTCATTGTGGCTGCCATGGGGCATATTTTGATATCTAAATGTGTCGTCCTTAATAAACACAATGGAGGCCAAGGAATAGACACGACCAACTGATCAAGTTGGTCGTGGGAATAGACTGATTTATACTTGCACTGTGTGTCAAAGAGCAGCCAAAAGAACGTGGTCCAAATTACCTTGCATGGTCCATATTAGACCATTTGACGGTACCTCTATTTCCTCTTGCGGGTCATCTTTTTCCTCCTCTTCCTCCTCTTCCTCTTCTTCGTCATCATCTTGATCACCTTCGGCCATATGCCGTTCCTCTCTAAGATGGGCAGCACACATGGATACTGATGCCTTAGGGTGAGTTGGGGGTAACCATGATACAACATCTGCATCTGTGCCCCAGTAATAATGACGTCCCCTGCAAGAATATATTACAGTATTTATCTTCCAGAGTACTGCTATTAGCTATTAGAAGAAATTAATGGATTTCATAAGAAGAAATACTTACAGTCCAGGATCATAGACTTCTTTCCAAGTTTCAGGCAGTGGATATTTCTTAAGCATTCTATTTTTCTTTCGCAGATATCGAGCATCAGCCTCTAGTTTCCCTGCTCCCCATAAATCGACACATGCCTTAGAGCAGTCATGATAAATATTGTACTTGTTAGGACATCCAGGGTGACCCTGTAGAAGTTAATTAAAAAAGAAAATTACAACAAGGTTTCCAAATAAGTGGAACAGAGTAGCAAGTGGTAGCAAGCTTCACACCTGAAACTTTTTCTCCAGATTCGCGATGTTCATGGGATCGTCATCATCTCCAAGTCTTTCTCTTTCATCATAGTCTTCGGCAATAACTTCTTCTTCTTCCTTCCTCTCATTTTCACGCGCTGGTAATTATGATAAGAGATAAATATAAACAGCAAATCTTACAGTGACATTTAAACATAAAGCCATAACCTACACTAGTATAGTACCTTCTATATCTGATGGTTTCACAATCCCCCTTTTTGCCAGCCTTGCGGCAAGAGCAGCTGGTAGAGGCATATTAAATTATTCTATAAAACTTTCACGACAAAAAATAATACTAAGACGCGCGGATAGCAAAAATCTAATCACAACGGTGCCGAACACACAATTTTTGATGTAACGAACGTAAACGAAATCAACGTACTCAACAATGTCTCATATTATGAGGAAAGGTTTGTGCTTGTCAGTGTACATGAATGTGAATCTATCTTCGTACACATCTAGTGTTGTGGATCAACATTTTACTGCTGCTTTAAGAAACTGTCACGTTAAAACTCGGCAGTGAATTAATACCATGTGAAATTAATGATACTTATTTATTTTCTTCTGTAAGCTAAAGCCCTGATTTCACGGTATAGTTTTGTTTGGTGTTTAGGTTAGGAAGAGCATGTCTCAGAGAAGACCCCTGCTACACAGGGTTCCAAGGTGTTGATAACTGTCAAGAATTGTTGTTTTCAAATGTTCGTTTTCTTTCAGATGACTTTAACAATGACGTCAGACTCCTCTCCGAGTGAACAAGTTATTTTAGCCACTGGTGGGTATGATCACACCATTAAACTTTGGCAAGCTCATACTGGAATTTGCCAACGAACAGCCCAGCACACGGAATCTGTATCCTTTTCATTACCTTTCAAAGTTTATAGATATTGTACTATACCTTCATACTCTGATTCCCACGCGTTGTCTCCTTAATTTTATGTATAGCAAGTAAATGCATTGGATATAACACCTGACAAACAACACATAGCAGCTGCAGGTAAAAACACGTAAGCAACGTATTTTTCATTCAAACATTCTCGCTAACGTTATTTCTCCATATTTTCTATGAAAAGGATATCAACACATACGAATGTATGATTTAGCATCTAATAATCCTAGTCCTGTTGTGAACTATGATGGCCTCTCAAAGAATGTCACAAGTGTTGGATTTCAAGAAGAAGGAAAATGGATGTATACCGGTGGGGAAGACCTCAGTGCTCGCATATGGGATTTGAGGTAGGGTTTTTAGTGTTTGTAGAGTTCATTGTTAATAAGGAATTCCTGTCTATAAAAAATTCTCATTATGTTGTAGGTCCCGTGCACTTCAATGTCAAAGAATTTTTCAGGTATCTGCACCAGTTAACTGTGTCTGCTTGCATCCCAATCAGTCAGAACTTGTTGTTGGTGATCAAAGTGGAGTTATACACTTGTGGGACTTGAAGACCGACCATAATGAACAGCTGGTGAGACCCTAGCAATCTCCTGACGCCTGCCGTTTGCCTAGTCTGCCATTTTTTATATGGCTGTATTATTTTATATCATTGCATTTCATGTTTTCTGTTTCCTATTTTTCAGATACCAGAGGCTGATGCTTCAATTCAAAGTATCGCAATGGATCCACAGGGAAAGCTTATGGCTGCTGTTAATAACAAAGGGCGATGTTATATATGGAGCCTTTCTGGTGGTGAATCCCAAGAACCCACCAAGCCCAAACCATCTCACAAAATAGAGGCACATCCTAAATTTGCTTTAAAATGTGCATTTAGTCCAGATTCATCGTAAGAAATATTTCTTTCATACTCATACTTTTAATGCTTTTAGGATTCAAATTATTATTATTCTTTTATCATTTGCAGTCTTTTGGTTACTACTTCAGCAGATCAATCTGCACGAATTTGGGAAACAAAAGATTTTACTCTACAAACTGAATTGAAACAAGAGGGTCAGAGATGGGTTTGGGATGCTGCCTTCAGTGCAGATTCCCAGTACATAGTTACAGGTAAGAACATGCTTTGAAATTTTAGCAGTACCTATTTCCCATTTGTTTCATTTGTTGTTGAATGGTTTTCAGCATCTTCGGACGGCGTTGCTCGCTTATGGAATATAGAAAAAGGCACAGTGGAAAGAGAGTACAGTGGCCACAGTAAGGCCATTACATCTCTAGCATTTAGAGACCAAATTGTAAATCCTTAATTGTCAATAAATTAATTACAATTTTTGTTTGCGAGTTTTTAAAAACTACGTAAGTATTAACAAGCAAAAAAGAAAACTGCAATCAAAGTATTTTTTTTAACACTTTTATTGATGCAAATTCAGCAGAAACTCAATAATTATACAGTAAGCGGATTAAAATCTAAGGACTAAGAACACGAATTATCAGTGGTAACACAGTTAAAATAAAATTAAAATTACAGTAAAGTCAATTTCACAGCCTGGCAGAAGGAGGCAACGTCTTCATAAATAAAATCTGGCTCCGATCACAGTACACAGAACCTTTCTGCCGTCGGTCAACATGCATGTGGTAAATCTGTTGGGGAAGATAAAAGAAAAATTCATAAATAATTCGTTAGAAATCCACCACCAGGGAAAAGGACTTGGAGGAATCATTCATGACAGGATAAAATTAAAAGAAGAGTCTGTGTACCAAAAACACTTCGAGGTACAGTGAGCCACTTCCTTCAATTGAATCCAATGAACACAGGCAGATATTTTAGGAAGTCAACTTATACTCATCAACAGCTACATCGCCAAGTTATTTCATGGGGCTTACCATAATTTAAGTCGTAAAGTATGACAGATGCCAAGCATTAGTCATCGTCATCATCATCTTCTACCACAAACAAGTCGTGCTCCTCCAAAAAGTTGGCGAATGCCCTACTGAACGAGGCACCAGTCAAAATTCCAGCATTTGCGACAACGAAAGACCCAACAAGCGTAAGGGAGCTCATTTTCGGTTTGGGGAGGACCCGCCCACTTCTAGTGGTCGTTTTCGTCCTCTGTATTTGAAATTCAACGGGCTTAACTTTCAATATAGTTGCGGATCGCACGAAACCAGCTGCCACTCGTGTCGCCATTTTTGGAGGATCTGATCTGACAGAAGATCGAGGTGCAGTTGCACCACAACGACGAGGGCAAGGTTGCCCCAAGTTTCATTTGGCTGAGACTTTAAGGACGCGTTGGGCGTATCCTATCATGAAAAAGTGAAAGTTAAAGATTAAAAGAAAGTTGTCTTTCTTATTATTATCTTTATTACTGAGAAATTAAAGTTATAGGTCAGTAAAATATTTTTAATTTTTAGGCTTCCCTGGTCTTTTAACAGGTTTGACACCTTACTCTTCAACCAGTGTCACTTAAAGAAAAATAATTTTATTTATACCGTGCGGCTTAGATTTATCTATGACTTCCTTTGCAAAATTAAAGAAACTTGAATCTTTTGACGTTCCTCTTGCTGCATCATATGATGAAATTACATGAATGTATGCAATGAATGAATGGATCCAATTCATTGGACAGTTGGTGATGAAGATCGCAGTAGGCTGTCAAACATGGCGCACCTCGTCGGTGATACCATGGAAATGAATGGATTTTCGCCTAAGAAGAAAGATGACCTGGAGTCAAAGGAAAATTTATGGTGTGTACTTTAAAATAATTTTACCCTTGTTTAATATTTCACATTTGATTTCCTTTCCCAACAAGTGGGTCATGTTTTTTGCACTTATGACTCATACGCCCCCGTCTATGCTTTTGGGGTTAGGTTACCTTTTCGTCCTTATTTTGCTATGCGTACCATTAATTTGACAAACAAAGTATATTTTGAGCTCATTTATCATTAATTCTACACCTCAGTTACTCATTTTTTGGACGTTCTTTTGCTTGCCTCTCGAGTAGAGGCTGTTGTCATCTTCTAGGACTAGTGTTACATCTGAGCTGAGATCTGTTGTTGATGGGTTGGGCATTGGCCTCATAACTTGATATCTCATTATCTGAGATGCCATAGTGTCTTATGTATCATAATATAATTTAGTCAAGTTGATTGTATCTTTGCTAAGAATTTGTTTGAATTGTTCAGGTCTGCCATTTTAAGTGAAGTCCAAAATACTGGTAATTCTAAGTTGCCATCAAACAAATCTGTACTTGTCTTAGGTAAATATGCATCTTTTATTCTGGCTTTTATTTTTCAACTTAATGAAACAGTGATATCTGTTAAATTTCTTGTGTTTCCCTCATTACTGATTCCTATTGCACCTTTCTTCTCACTAGGTGATAGTGAATCTGGCAAAACGACTCTGATTGCTAAACTTCAAGGTGTAGAAGATCCTAAGAAAGGATCTGGTTTAGAATATGCCTACATAGATGTTCGTGATGAATATAGAGATGGTAAGCTTACAACATTTTGAAGTATGGAATAAAGGTTTACATAATGTTCACTCCTTTGACGGTCACTTTATTTAATAGATCACACACGTTTGAGTGTTTGGGTCCTTGATGGAGATCCAGCTCATGGTCATCTTCTACGTTATGCACTTTCTGAAGAAAACTTCCCCAACACGCTTGTCATGCTTGTGGTAGCTATGACTACTCCGTGGGGTATACTGGATCAGTTACAATCTTGGGCAACAATATTACAAGACCATATTGACAAACTGAAATTAAGTTCAGATGAACTGCAAGAATTCAAACAGACAAGTAAGTGATTATTAAACATTTTCTATCTTTAATAACATAGATTTTAGATTTTTGATCAGCATGATATTTTATTTGTTGCCTCATGTATTTTAGTATCTTACGTTAAAACTAAAAATCTTGTTTGTTTCTTTTAGATATGAGAAAATGGCTGGATTATGTGGAACCTGGTGATGAACTGGATTCTAGTGCTGCTTTGCGACGCACCTCTCGTAATATGGATGATGAATTAGGTGAAATGCCCCTAGGTGAAGGAATTCTCACAAGGAATCTTGGTCTTGATGTGGTTGTTGTTGTAACAAAGGTATTATTTGTCCTCTGTGTTTCTATAACCTTCTATTATATGCAATCTTTATTTACAATTCCTTTTTTTAAATTATCAATTTGCAGACAGACTACATGTCAACTCTAGAGAAAGATTTAGATTACAGGGATGAACAATTAGATTTTATGCAACAGTGGATTCGAAGATTTTGTTTACAATATGGGGCAGGATTATTCTACACTTCAGTTAAAGAAGATAAAAATTGTGATCTTCTCTATAAGTATCTCACACATCGAATATATGGATTTCCCTTTCGAACACCTGCTCTTGTTGTGGAGAAAGATGCTGTACTTATGTAAGTTTTGTCTTCATGAAGTCGAAAGTTTATTGTTTATTTTCTTTGGCTTATTCATGACACGTAAACACTCTTTTCTTGTGTTGTGTGTAGCCCCTCAGGTTGGGACAACATGAAGAAAATAAGTATTCTTTATGAGAACATGCAGTCTATGAAGCCAGATGATTACTACAGAGACATTATCACTCAACCAGGAACTCGAAAGGTATAAAAAAAATTGCAGAATAAATTCTTTGAATTGGTTGACAACCTACCACACATTTCATGACTATTTTGTTCTAAATACTGTCCTTCGTTTTTGCAGACTATTGCTAGGGAAGTTGAAGTGCAAGCCGAGGATGAACAAGCATTTCTCACAAGACAACAGCAATCCCTTCAAGCGGGCGTGCCAGCTGGAGTTCGCCAAGAGTCGACAATGCGACCCCCAACAGTTCCCAAGGCAGGAGATCGTCGTTCGGTAGGGACTCCAAGTGTTCAGGCTCAGCTAGGATCACCAAAGAAGGTAACACATGTGCCAGATATTTTTGCACCACTGCACAGTCAAGAACACCTTGGTCTTCTGTCTGGTAATGGAATCTCCACATCACTTGTATCTGGTTTCTGGAAATGGTTAAAAATGTGATATTTCTACTCTCATCAAACTACAGTTGTTTAATGGTGATGCTCTTCATTTCAGTCTACTGCACAAATATGTTAATTTCCTCCATCTTTTATTTTGAAGAGTGTAGCTGTTTAATCAAGCTCTCTCATTCATTAATATATCAAAATCTGTAATTTTGAATTCATTATTAGATAATTATGAAGTACTTTATCTACATCTATCATTCACTATGTGATTCTGGCCTGATTCTCACATTAGAAATGGTTTCTTCAACAAATACAGTTTTTCTTTGAGGGATGATTTTGTGAGCAAGTACAGTTTTTCTTTGAGCAATGTAACTATCCTGTTAATATCTTGAAAGTGATGCACAATATCATGGGATATGTGAAATGTCTTGCCGCTGGAATCAGACTCATTGGTGGTAGCTTTGCAATGAAATATTAATCCAATCAGTTCAGCAACGTGGTGCTCTGGTGCATGTGTTACTTGGGTTTGATTGTAGATATGATATGCATCTTTTCTAGCTAAAACTTGTACCTCTAGTGTAGTCTCAAAGAATCGCATGCTTTGTAGTAGTTTTTGACCTTTCTTCCCTCTGTCTCTATATCCAAATGCTCTATATAATAACTTTTTCTAGGTAAATTAATTGAAAAATTTCCTTTAAAAAGATAATGCTAAATATGGTGATCTGATTAAATATTTCAGAAATATTTACACTAGATGTTTGGTTTTATCAGCATGACTATGTTGATAAACACATTTAATAAGTCAATGGTGACTACAATTGTCTATTTTCATTTGTGTCTCATGTAGATTGATGGAGCAAAGGGAGCTGCAGGAAGCGGTGAAGGAGTGCTTGCCAACTTCTTTAACTCTTTGCTGTACAAGAAGACTGGAAACTCCAATCCTACAAGCCCAGCACGACCAGGAGGTGAGGCTATCTTATTACTGCTATCCTATGATGTGCTTAATTTCCAAATTTTTAACAATCTTGTCTGTAAAACATCTGATTTTTTCTGACCACTATTGTGATTTTGTTCTTTCAGAGCAACCAAATAATATCCCCCCTATCGATAAGGTGGCTGTAAGGTCTGATGCTGCTGCAGAATTGGATAGGCTTACACGAAATAAAAAGCAGTCTAGCTTAGAGCAAGAACCAAACTCTTCTGAATGCTGAGTACTATGGGGAGGAGCAGAAATTATTTCTGACTGTACTCCTATTCTTTTCAAAGCCATTCTTTCAATATTGAAAATAAAATTGTATAAAAAACTTTTGTGCAGTAGGTGCAGAAATTTTGTTTTCATCTGAAGAAGCTTTGGAAAGATTAGCATAATACAATACAATCCACAGCCAGCTTTTGGATGCTCGTACAATGTATTTTAGTTTTGAAAATTACAAGATAACTTTTGGTTGATGTAAATTATTTTATTTCTATGTGTGCAAAGTGCTATCTTGTTCTGTCATCATCATGATTAGAGCATGTGATGTTAAAGAGATGTAAACAAAATCAATCTTTGAAACCATGTTATTATCTATGATACAAAAAAAATGAAGATTCCATCTGGCTGCACTTAGAATACTGTATGCATATTCTGTGATACTGATGGTTTTGCTTCTGTGTAGGCTCTGGATGTACATAAGTATAGTTTTCCAGATCTTTAATAATACCCAAACAGAGCTTATCTACAGAAAGCAACTATTTCAGGTGTTCTGTTATAAATTTTTAAGCCCAAACTGTAATTATTTCAGTCTTTCTCTTGAGTTTTGAAAGAATGTTTTGTGAAAACACTTTGTTTCTTGTAAACGTGTGAGCATTTTTCATAGCAATTGATATTTATGTACCAGCTAGGCTTTACTTAATTTATGATTGTAATCGTTTTAGAAGGCAGTAATGCACTGACAGCCCCTTAATTATTCTTTAACAAGGTGCCTTAACCAAAAAACCACCCTGAATGTTTTACCAATTTTGTAAAATTTCAGGTAACATAAAAAAGTAAGGAAATTAAGCCTGATTTATCAGTGAAACTCTGAATACCCACATACATTTTGAAGTTTCAATGTTTATGTTTTCTTGTTTATGAGTATTTGATATTGGTTGCTGTAGATTGGCTCCGTTTTTTCCCTTTGCTTGTCTCTTGCACATGTGAAAAGTTTGTCTGATTTGGAGATTGTCAATGTCTTACTGTTTATTTATTACATCAGCTAGTAATTAACTGATGTTGAAAAGTATGATAGGGTTGCATTAGCTGGACTCGTATTAATTTGCTGTGTATAATTTTGTAATCTAAGAAGTAAACTTCAACTATTTTAAACAAACATCAGAAACTTTACCCAAATTATCACCTTAGCTTTAGCAATTGCGTATGCCTCTTTGCTCAAAGACAGGTACCAGATACTAAAGTGCTTATGTGATTTACTTTATTTTAAAATTCAATCAATTTTGAATAATTTATTATGTGCATTTAACATTTCTCTTATCTATATTTTTGTCTGGGTGACTTTTGCCTGCCTATCTAGTATTCGTTTCAAATTTGGGAAAGATGCAATGTCTAAACTGTATTTTGATAGCGCTATTCCTCATCACATAGATGAAGAATTATCATTTTATAATAACAAAGCTTATACATACTAGCAAGAAACTAATGAGGACTGATAGTAATCAAATTCTAAATGTTTGTTGAGAACATTTTATTTGTAAATTAATGTATGATTTATCTGTTTTTATGTGTACAAGATAATTAGAATTTTCATTTCTCCTTTTTAAAACTATTTTGTTTCTTTTGAACCACCATTGCTTAGCTCATTCAACCCCTAAACAAAATTCTGAACATCTCTTTAAACTGTGTAAATCTTAAATTTTGAATCTCTGGAAGTGACTGAAAGCCACCCTTTGTAAATTTGTTAACAATTATTATGTTATCTTTTCCATCTACAACTTGCTCTGTTTGCAAACAACATTGAAGTGTGCAATGTTTTGGGATCCAATTCATTTTGACTCATTAATGCAATCAAGTATAATTTCTCAGAAGACTGTTTAAAAATAGTGCAACGCACGCAACACCCAGCTCTCACTGAGCTTGGTATAACCAATACATATTGGTCAAATGTCAAGTTTTATCAGTAAAAATGAACTGTGCTTTGAAAAATTGTGTTTGTTCAGCTGTACTGTACATATCTCCTTTGTGCGCAGCGGTTGTCACATTGATATTTATAAACTTCCATTCTCCAATGTGCCACTTTGTTTTAAAAATTCAGCATTTTCATTTATTTTTTTTCTACAGCTGTGATTTGGCTATGTGTATCCAAGCACCAAACTTTGTTATGTTTTCTGAGTTTTATATTAAAATGTACAGTTTGAAAGGATATTTAAATAGGTGAACTTTTCCAATAAAACCCAGAAAAAAAAAACTTGTTCATCTTTAACATGAAACTTTCTTGGCATATTCATTCAACAAGTACAACGATGTCTAATGTTTAATGTATTACATTCTGAGGCATGAACAAACAAGAATTGCTAACATACCCATATATCACATGGGTACTTTAACCTTTGTAATATTCTTTGAGTTCAGGATCAGTTGGTTTCAAGATCATTCTGTCAATCAAATTAACAACCCAACCAGGCTCAAGTCCATAGAAAATTTGACGAGGATCTTTTCTAAAAGTAAGCATTTCATAATCTGGGTCCTCTTCAATTTTAGGTAGCGTATATCCATATTTTTGGGCTAGGACTAGTCGATCCCACGATATCTACAATTCAGAGGGTAAGGGTAAGAGAGAGAAAAACAAACTAAATTAAGTGTGTTAACTGGAAGTCAATTGTTGATTCTTACCTGGTCAGGATCTGCAAGATAACCCCTCATTTTTGGATCTGTGTAGTAACTAATTGCATCTTCAGGGGGTATCATTCTTTTCGGAATTGGTTCCCCTAAAAAAATGAATTTTATTTTCAATAGGCAATCAACAAACTACATAAATCAAAAAGTCAAAAGTTTTGACAACCTCAACAATGGTAACATACCACTTTCTAAGAACTTTTTAGCATTTGTGAGAGCAAAAAGAGAGGGTGGATCAAAAAATGCAGTTGTGATGGTTCCACCATTCCTCTCTACAGCAGCAATCACAGGTTCACTTGCCCATTGTACCTCAATATTTATTTTTGCTGTAAAGTTATCTGCTCCCTGAAAGAAAAAAAAAAGAAAAAAAATCAACAATCTAAAGGATTTTAAGTTCACGTGCTAAATAAAGGTACCTACCTCATCTGTTAAATGAACTCCATAATGTTTACATTGTGGATTAATTTTATAGAGACCAGAATTACAAATCTGAACTAAATCAACAGGTTTTTTAGGGTTGATTCGATCTGTATCTATCATTAATTGCAGTTGACCAAGTGACAGGGGTGGGTATTGCCTCTTCAAACTGCAAGAATTGAAATTGCAACAACAAGAACAATTAAGCTGCTAAACATACTGGAAATATATCATAACTGTTTTGACTATTTGCATCAGGGTATGAACAAATACGAAATTTAATATCCACTGCAGGTGGGAATTCCAGTGACTAAAATATACTAGGTCCACAAGCACTTACTGATGTCCAAGATAATACGGTTCAAAAGGAAATTTCAGGTAATATGGCCAGTTTCCAGTTTCATATCCTATTCGCATGTAGTTCTGTCTTGCTTTCGAACCTTTGTTTCCTGCTCCATGTTTATCTCCTCCATGTTGACCTCTGCCTCTTTTGCTCTTGATAAAGTGGAAGAGAACAATTAAAGCAATTGAGATTAGCCAAATGAGTCGCAAATGGCAAGGCATTTAAGTATCCATCGGAGAGGTATCCAAATTTCACCAGGAAGACTTTTATTTTCAGAAAGTACATAAAGCAAGTAAATTTAAGATCTCATATTCTCACCCGTTTATTAGAACCTGGGATCGGTGCAATGTTATACAAGCAAACGCGAGGCAATGTCCTCAACAAACCAAGAGCTTTCTCATAACCTCTCACGGCCATGGTTTTTTACCTAAAAGTTCACAAAAACAAAACGTAAATAGAGTTAGGAATGAATAATTTGAAATAAATCACAAACGGACAAAAAATGATAACCGCGCATGACAAACGTTCATTTTCGCTTTCACTTACATTCAATCTTCTGCTTTCTGCTCTCAGCTGCTGCTCACCGTGTTCACCGCACGAACTTCTACTACGCGATACTAATGCCATCTGGTGGTGGAAATGTAAGGACACGGTAATCACAATACCACTCCACCACCACCACCATCACACACCAACTCAGTCTTCGGTAATGTTTGTGAAATTTGTACCTTAAAAAATTTGTATGAATTACACATCAAAAGTTTCTGGCAAGATTTTGAAACATAAAGTTTGCTGTTAAATCTAATGACTCTCTGGTTTATTTATCACAAACAGGCCGATTCATGCTGAGTGTTCTGCTACGAGGGTTATGTTTATTTGACAGCTTTAATGGTCAGAAATACAATCAGTTCTAAAATGCATGGAAACATTCAATAAAATTCTGGCAGCTTCATAGAATTGATTTTTCAAAATTTCTGGTATTATGGTGTTTTCCTCTTACTTGTTGAATCTTTGCTCATTGTGTCCATTTGTCATCAACTCTCTAAAATGTATACGTCTTGCTAGATGTGGTTCGGATTATGTCGGAGCCTTACTGATTGTTGGCAGAAACCTTGGAACAAAATAGGAGTAGAGATGCCAAATTCTATTTACCATGAAAAACAGGTTTGTTCCTAGATTGTTGTACTTATGTTACTCCTCTTTCAGAACTGAAAAAAACATTTTTTTCAGGTGCGAGAGTTGTGCGCACTCCATGCGCTAAACAATCTCTTTCAGCAGCAAGGAGCTTTTACTAAAGAAGAGTTTGATGAAATTTGTGGGTCATTGTCACCAAACACTTGGATAAATCCACACAAGTCCATAATGGGTCTAGGAAACTATGATATAAATGTGATTATGACTGCACTTCAGCGTAAAGGCTATGAAGCAATCTGGTTTGATAAAAGAAAGTAAGAACAATAATTTTTTTGAACTTTCTTGCAAATTTTAAAATATGGACGATGTACTAACAATTGCAATGAATTGATCAGGGATCCAAAATGCTTGAACTTACCTTTGATCAGAGGGTTTATTTTGAATATTCCTGGAGATTACAAGCTTATGTTAGTGCAAATGCTTCTCAGAAGAAAACATTGGGTTGCAATCCGTGAAATAGATGGATCTTACTATAATCTAGATTCTAAATTAGATTCTCCAGAACTGATTGGAAAGGTATACTACTGCAATTGTTACCATTATGAGATGTTCTTTCATTATTTCTGTGTTAATTTTTTTTTCTATGTTCAGGGTGAAGAACTGTTAGCCTACTTAAAATCTCAACTGGAAAACAAAGAAAAAGAGCTTTTTGTCATAATACCTTTAGAAGTTGAAAGATCCCAGTTATGGCAAGTGCCGGACTCAGAAATTTCTAATGGAAAGGTTCAAGGAACAGAAATACATTCCAGAGGTGTACATGATGACATAGAGAGTTCAAGACAGCACACCTCTAGCAGTAACAGCAGTGGAGCAGGTGGTAGTGGACTTTGTTTATTTGGGCGCAATCTAGTTGCCCCACATTCTGTCTCCTCTTCTCCTTGTAGATAGCTTTTTCTGAAGATATCAATGACTTGTGTTGGGTACTTAAATATTCTATTGTTATAATGTGTCAAAATTTATATGTGTACATGAATTGAAATGTCTATTTATGAAAATACTACTTAAGCAGTGAATATTTCTTCTGTTGTTTGGTACAAGATACCGGATTGACTTTACAAAATTGATTTGGTTTTGTAATTTTTTAAATCTAATACCCAGTTCCTTTCTTTGTTTAGTAACATAGGAAAGAAAAAGCATGCTTTAGAACACAAATTTTGTTTTATTTTATGTGGTTACTGTTCTTACTGGTTTGGAGTATAAAATTGGTGCATCTGTCTATTATAGGTAACAGGGTCTAGATTTAATCATGATAATAGTGTACTTTAACGTCAATAACAAGAGCATTGTCTACATGTTTATGTGCATACCTAGTTAATTGGTCTCCTTTCAGTATGTATTGTAATAATTTGTCTTCTTTGCTGAAATAGATATGCTACGTAACTAACAGAAGTGCCCAGAGTCAAGCTTTAAGAATAGATTTTGTAATCCTCCATTCCATTTTTTTAAAACATGTTTAAATTTGTACTATTTAAAAAAAAATCTGAAAAATGGATGGTCCAAAATTGTCCTGTAGGGATGCTAATGGCTGTTCAAATTGACAAGTAGTCATATCCAAGAGTTGGTTGTTTTCAAGCCCAAGTCCACCGGGAAAACAAATGTAGAAATCAACACCCTTTTCGGGGTGTTAATGACTTTCATGCCTTCACAGAGGCACTAAAAGATTTGCACCTCTGCAAAGGCACAAAAATGCCTCAAACTAAATTTTAGTGCCTTTGAAGACTTTTGTGCCTTTCTAAAGGCAATAAAATTTTGCACCTCTAAGCACCATTAAGTCTTTCCTTTGTTTTTCTAGTGTCATCATTGATAAGTGTCCCTGGAAAATGAGTTTGGGAAAGATATCAGAACAATATTTGAAATGGTTATGTTTGTTTGTCAGTCACTCTCTGGATCTCTCTGGATTAGCACTGGATGTTCAAGTTTCATGCTGGTTAAATATTGTAATATTGTAATATATTCATATCATCCAGCTCTCTTTAAATAAAATCTCAATCTTCATCAACATGCAGACAGCTTTTAATGATTCTTGCAGACTCTACAAACTGTGCGCCAAGTAATTTATATGGATGATTCGTGCGCACAATGTTAAAATGTTAATGCACACATTTATACATTTTGTATTCAGACCTATACAAAAACTGTCTCAGATCACCAAGAGGAAAAATTGTAACCTATATGTAATAAGATTTTTGCAATAAACAATTGACT